CTCAACTGGGACAACTGGTCTTTCCTTCATTTAACACCCCATTCCCTAGTAGGCTCACCTTGGCTTGCTCACATCATAGTAGAAGGCTTCTAAGAGAAAAACTGAAGCAACCAAGGCCTCTTGAGGTCTAGACTTGGAATTCACACACTGTCATTTCTGCCATATTCTATTGCCCAAAGCAAATCCCAAAGCCAGCTAACTTCATGGGGTAGGGAACCACCTCTTGTTGGAGGAAATACAAATGTAAAGTATACAGGTAGAGGGAGACATAAAGAAATGGGGACATTTTTGCAAGCCATTTACCACAGGGAGAATTCCCTCCAGTGAAGTGCACTAGACAGAAACTATAGCTATCTCAGTTTACTATACTGTGCTTTTTGCTTTTTAACTATTTTTTAAAAAATAATGAAAAGTTTGAAACAGAGAAACCATAGAGAATAATATAATAAACACTCATGATCCTACCGTTCTACTTTAATAAATCTTAAATTCAGATATTTTAAGAAACAAATGTTGAAGATATTGTACTTTTAAAATCCACTGTATACCCTTGTTCATCCTTCCTTTTTCTTTTTTGAGATCTTTAGCCATAAATTTTTAATTCCAGATAGTTACTTTTTATTTAAGTTAAAGGACTTGAGATTCATGCCTTCTACTGATTCAGCAGGGGGAAAAAATGGAATTATATTCAGTCATTAAACAAATATTTATTGTGCCTTCTATTTGCCAAGCACTGTACTACATATGTATTGGTATAGTGTATCCTTATTTTTTGTAGTGTTCTCTTTGCACACTATTTTGTTACAGGGTATATATCTAAAATGAGAAACAGAGAACATTTCCTTTTAAAATGGGGACTCATTTTTGATATCTCTTACAAAGAAATTTTTTTTAATACCTTGAAGCTTTGAAAGTGAATCTGATGCTTTAGTCTTAGTCTATAATTTTTTATTCCGAGTTTCTTAACATTTTCCTTCTATGAGTTTGGCGCTTGTTGTGTCGCTTGGGTGGGTAGGATGATTTGGAATGTTTGTTTAGTTGCTAGCTGGCCACACCTTGGTGTTCTTTCATATGATTAAATTGTTCTTGCTTGTAAGTCCTATCTGGTTTTCCTACTTTAATGTGAATACTTCAAAGTGCAGTCCTCTCAGTGGTCTTTGTTTTCCGTGCTTTTATGGTGAGTAGGTTATACATTTTTTTTTAAAATAGCCTTATTGAGATATAATTTACATACCATAAAGTTCTTCCCTTAGTCTGCACAATAGAGTTGTGCAACCATCGCCACTATCTCCTTTTGGAGATTTTTCATTAGCTCAAAAAGAAATCCTGCGTTTATTATCTGTGACTCCTCATTCTCCTCTGCCCCAGCAACCTCTAATCTACTTTTTGTCTCTATGGATTAACCTATTCTGGGCATTTTGTATAAACAGAACCATACATTTTGCAGTCTTTTGTCTCTGGCTTTTTTAACTTAGCGTAATGTTGTCAAGGTTCATCCATGTTGTAGCATGTATCAGCACTTCATCCATTTTCATTGTTAAATAATACTGCATTGTATGGATATGCCACATTTTGTTTATCCATTTACCAAGTGATGAACATTTGGTCATATCCACTTTTTGGCTATTATGAATAATGCCACTGTGAACATTTATGTACAAATTTTTGTGTGGACATGTTTTCATTTCTCTTGGGTATACACCTATGAGTAGAATTGTTGCATTATATGGTAACTCTATGTTTAACTATTTTGAGGAATTGACAAACTGTTTTTCAAAGTGGCTTCACCATTTTACATTCCCATCAGCCATGTATGAGGGTTGAAATTTCTCCACATCCTTATCAACACTTATTATTGTCTATATTTTTTTATCTTAGTATCCTAGTAGGTGTGTAGTGGTATCTCATTGAGGTTTTGATTTACATTTCTCTAATGATTAATGATGTTGAGTATCTTTATGTTCTTATTGGACATCTGAATCTCTTCTTTGGAGAATGTCCATTTTTAAATAAGGCTACTTTTTAAAAGTCATTGAGTTGTAAAGTTCTTTATGTATTCTGAATACAAGTCCCTTATCAGATATATGATTTACAAATATTTTCTCACATTCTGAGGGATGTCTTTTCACTTTCTTGGTTTTCTTTTTCTGCCTTTTTTTTTTACTCCCCAAACCCCGCCAGTACATAGTTGTATATTATAGTTGTGGGTCCCTCTAGTTGCGGCACGTGGGACGCCACCTCATCGTGGCCTGATGAGCGGTGCCTCGTCCGCGCCCAGGATCTGAACCAGCAAAACCATGGGCTTCTGGAGCAGAGTGTGCAAAGTTAACTACTCAGCCACGGGGCTGGCCCCTCTTTTCACCGTTTTTTATTTTTGAGGAAGATTAGCACTGAGCTAACATCTGCTGCCAATCCTCCTCTTTTTGCTGAGAAAGACTGGCCCTGAGCTAACATCCATGCCCATCTTCCTCTACTTTATATGTGGGACGCCTGACACAGCATGGCTTGCCAAGCAGTGCCATGTCTGACCCAGGATCTGAATCAGCGAACCCTGGGCCACCGAAGTGGAACGTGCACACTTAACTGCTGTGCCACCAGGCTGGCCCCTCTTTTCACCTTCTTGATAACGTCCTTTGAAGCACAAAAGTTTTTAATTTTGGCGAGGCCCAATTTATTTTTTCTTGTATCACTTGTACATTTTGGTGTCACCCTAAGAAATCATTGTCTAACCCAAGGTCACAGAGATGTAATCCTGTGTTTTCTTTGAAGAGCTTTAAGGTTCTAGACCTTACATTTAGGTCTATGATCCATGAGCTACTTTTTGATATGGTTTGAAGTAGGGGTTCAAATTCATTCTTTTGCATGTGAATATCCAGTTGTAAAGACAATTCCTTCTACACTGAATTATTTTGGCACCCTCATCTAGGATTATATCTTTATTATAGAACTTACCAAATTTTGCCTTGTTTTGTGGTAAACTAGATAAATCTTTGTCATGGGAGGACAAGGAACATGTTTTGTTCATTTAAAATAAGAAAACCTATGAGAAAATGCAAACTATTGCAAATGCAAAGAAACAGCACTCAGATATGGCAGGCAGTTCTCTTTTCAGTGACCCTTTCTCCCTCTTTTTCTCTCTTCCATGCTGAACATTGGGAGCTCTCATGAGCTCTCAGAAACAGAGCACCTACCATAAAGCCCGAGAGTAAATATTTCTTTTCTTCTGTTGGATCTCCCCACAGACTTAGTGTGGTATTTGGTACACAATAGTTACCATAAACATTTAGTGAATGTAAAGTGGGCTTGAGCATGCACCCCAAAAGAAAGGTGTGGGTCCTTAAAGCTCTGACTGGATGGGAGATCCAAACACTTTCAGCTGTTTTCAAACTAAGAGTCTGAATAATAGTAGAGACTGACCCCAACAGCTTAGTGAAGTCGTGCTGTTGTCAGGGTAGGGGCCTCCAATGACTCCTCATCCTGGAAGGTAAGTGGCAAATATGCTTTCACTTAAAGTGAACCGAAACACTTAAAACAAACCTCAAGGTCCAGGACCTTTTTTTCCCTAGTTTAATTTCAAGTTCTCCAGATGTCTACTTACTCAACTGCTTATGCAGTAATAAGTTTTAACTTGTGGATTTGACCTCAATTCCACAAAACTGACTGTGGTTCTTATCTGCCTAAAAGCAGCAAGATTTTCTCAGGCAGCAACAGCCACTATTGAAAATGCAAAGAAAGGGCACTCAGATAGGCAGGCAGTTCTATTTTCAGTGACCCTTTCTCCCTCTCTTTTTCTCTCTTCCATGCTGAACATTAGGAGCTCTCATGATCTCTCAGAAACAGAGCAAGAGGTTGAACATAAAGGCCTGTTTATTCCACCAGGCAGATTCCTACCGGTTCATGTCCAGACAATGTTCCCGCTGCTCAGGTATATTTTTCTGAGATTCCAGAATCTGCCCCTCTCTGTGTAAAAGTACATATGTGCGTACTGAATCTAAGATATGTACTATATAGATACACAGAACTTTCTTTCACGGTGCTTTTCAGCTTTGAAAATTTTTCACAGGGGTTGGTCTCACAGCTAAGTGCTTCAAATCACGGTTTCTGACTCCAGAGCCAGTGCTCCTGCCACTTCACCAAATCGCCTCTCTATGGATAATCAGGGACCAGGCTCTTACATGCTTTCTTCTGAGGCTTGTGGCCATTTCCTAACCCTAAGTTAATCAGAATACAGCGAGGCTCGATTGAAAACAATTTTTTTATTAGACTTCATATTTTAGAGTAGTTTTTAGGTTCACAGCAAAATTGAGCTGAAGATTGAGATTTCCCATATACCCCATGTCCTCACATGCATGGCTTCCCCCATTATCAACATCTCCCCCAGAGTGGTCCATTTGTTACAATTGAGGAACCTACACTGACACTTCATAATCACCCAAAGTTTATAGTTTACATTAGGGTTCACTCCTCATGTTGTATATTCTATAGGTTTGGACGCAGGTATAATGACACGTATCCATCATTACAGGATCTGTACAGAGTAGTTTCACTGCCCTAAAAATCGCCTGTGCTCTTGGCGAGGCTCTATCTAAAAGGACGAAAAGAGAGGGAAAGAAACAAGTGTGCAACGCGGAGGCTCGACCAAATTCCAAGCCTAGTTTGTTTCCAAGTTCAGCGGCTCCCAGCTGTCCCATCCCTCCAAGTCCGGCTGGGGGCAGGTTCCTCCTCCTCCTCCACCTCCTCCTCCTTTTGTTTAAGCGTCAAGCAAATGGGTTTCCTGTTGACACCGGAATATTGTGAAAGGGCAGGAAGAGACCAGGCCACCTCCTCTTTCCCCCCTTCCTATCCTCTTTATATTTTTGTACGCGTTTGTCTTGGTCGAGCGGTGGTTCCAGCGTGCGCGGCTGTGGGGCGGCCTCGGTGGCCGGTAACCCCTCCCCGAGGAGGCGAGGCCGGGCCAGAACCCGCCCGATCCTTGGCTCCACCGCTGCGGGGCGGGGAAGGGAAAGAGGAAGGGGGAAGAGAGGGGGAGAGAGAAAGCAGGCAGAAAGAGGCCGCTGGTGCGCCGCGAGGAGGCGGGGAGACTGGCTCGGCCGGCGCCGGCCGCTCCCCCGCGGCTGCAGGTGGAGTCCGCAGGGGTAGCCGTTTCCACAGCGGCCGCAGCCCCCACCTCCGTGCGAGGACCAGCCTTCCAGGCCCCGAGGGCGCTGGCGCGGGGCGCCGGGTGCTCGCGGACTGGGCGCCGGGGCCAGCAGCTCGCCCGCCGTCCCCCGGCTGCGCCTCAGCGCCTCGCCCATGGCTGAGGGCCGGCGGCGGGAGGACGAGGAGGAAGAGCTGCGCGAGCGCCGCGAGCTCGGGGGCCCGCGCCGCGCCCGGGGCCGTGCGCTCTCGGGCCACTCGGCCGCAGGTGAGGGGCGCAGGGAACGCGAGGAGGGCCGGGGGACCGAGGGCTGGGCGCCGCGGGGCCGCGCAGGTGTCTCATCAGTCTAGATGGGACCGGCACCTTTAACTCGGAGGAGAGAAGGAGGGAGAGTGGCTTTTCCATCCTCATCTTCCCTGACGGGCCAAGCCCGAGGAAATTCAAACTGGTCTCTACCTGCTAGTGGCCCTGGAGCCAAACTACAAATTTTCCGTGCAAACTAAGTCCAGGAGCTGCAGGTTTGGAATTTGTGGCCCGGGTGATTACTTATCTCCGGATGAGTGAGAGGCTGGGGGAAAATTCTCTGGGTCTGGCGGTCTCGGCGGAGAGCGACCCCTCCCGATTGGTTTGCCTGCGCTGCCGCAACCAGGTCGAACCAAGTGCCAAGAGTCAAGTCTGGTTTCGGTGGCCTGTGAACTTCGGACCTGTGACTGTCTGTCCTCCCTCCCCTCCCCCGTACCGCCGGAGCTCATCAGTTTTCTGTAGGACTTGCCTTAGAGTTATTTTGTGAGCCCCCCTAGTGCAGAATATAGCATCCCCAAGGGCAAATTCATTGGGGCTGAGAATCATTTCCGGGCCTCTAATTACTTTAATGATCTTGAGTTTCTGGATATACAAAGGCGGCCCAGATCAGTAGTTTGGCGCACAAGTGAAACTTGAATAAGCAGTGAGTGAATACGTGTGGATCCACACCCCTTCCCTCTTCCTGGAGCAGCTTTTCAATCAAACATATTAAAGAGGAAGTTCTCTGGCCTTTGGTTCCAACTGGAGAAGCCAGATGTCTGAAAACAAGAGGGAAGAACAAACTTGAGGAGATGACAACGAGGGGGAGATAGAGGAGTGAGGAAGATTCAGATGAGAATGGTCCATTAAATCCTCTTTAGAAAGTGGAATATCAGGCTGTGAAGAAGATTTTCTATGTGGCTTCCTTAACTTAAGAGAAAGCTGGAGAATTAAAGAGAAGATAATGAATCTGTGGGGAACAAATGGAGGGTAGAAAATGAGATGAAAGAATTTAAGTGGAACATGAAGAAATAGTCAATTGGATGCCCTTGGTAGGATCTTGGAACCTTAAAAATAATTCCTTTTGCCTATTGTAAGGACTTTCCACCAAGATAAGGCATTTGACTGTCTACGTGAACACCAGCCGTTTTGAAAATAATCGATAGTTTGGTTCACTATAAACGCAGACCTAATGAAATAATGGGTAACTGCTGGATATGAGTAAATACTTGTCTTAAGCACGCAATGAAAAAACTACAGAGGTGTACCTCCATGGAATTAACTGATTTAGACAGTGTAGGCTACCTTGAATTCCTATTACCCTCAGCAAAAGCTTCCGTCTCTCTTACAAGGCACTGTACTGGGAAGAGCTGGATTGGAGGTCGGCCTAGATATCATCCAAATATATGTTTATCTTTTAGTTGCAGTATGTTTATTTATTCCAAGGCTGGTGGAAATGGCATTTTGTAACTTGTTTTCACCAGTTCCTTAATTTCCGGAGGCTGGCAGAAGCCTTTCTAGGTTCTGTGATAATATTTTGCTGAGACATGACATTGTGCACTTTTTCCCTCAGAAAATTGGTGTTTGCAGTTTCTAACCATTTAGTATGCCCCATCTCCATTAAGGGGTGAGGGACAGAGATATTGTGGAGTGGGTAGAGGGTTAAACTCGCAATTATTGGTCTTCTTTTGGGACACATTATTTAATAGTTTACATTTCTTTACAGGCTGTGCTCCTCCTTCCTCTCATTAGTTAATGTGTTTTTCAGGCACCATCGCATTCCTTACCAAGCTTGGGCATTTGTTAGTTACAGCTGCTCTAGATGTTGCTCTCTCTCCGAGTGAGAGTATGAACTGACCCAGAGGTTTAGTGTTTCTTCTGCTTAATCTTTTTCTAATCTTTCACCTTTCCTGTTCTCATCACTCCCACCTCCCCCACCACTTTGGAATCTAGGGATTTTCTCTTTTTCTTTGATCTCACATAGCTCGAGGCCATTAACTTGGGGTTTATGGACTTGCGGGTGTCTGTGAACTCCTCCTCTTCCATCTAAATTTAGGTGTTGTTGTGGAGGTGTTTGTTTTTGCAATGTGCATACAGAAGAGCGTTTAAAACCTATAAATTGTAAAGTAAAACTCTTATAACCTACCTGGTAGTCAAGAAACAGATTATTATCAGTTCCCTAGAAGCAGACTCCAATGTCTCTCAGTCACGACCGCTTCCTTTCCCTGGAGGGAACCACTTTTTTCGATTATTATTTCCTTGCTTTTCTGTAGAGGATTAGCTGTCTGTATTTGCATACACAGATGCATCCCTAGACAATATTATTTAGTTTTACCTATTTTACATCTTCATATGAGTGGAATCATCCTGTGTGTATTCTTTAGTGTCATGATTTTTTCACTCAATATTAAGTTTGTAAGATTTATCCATTTTGGTATATGCAGCTGTAGTTTTTTTTTATTGTATTAATATAGACACTTTTTATTGATTTGTCAGAGTTCTTTATTTACACAGGAATCTCGACTTTTGTTGGTTACACGTATTGCAAATATCTTCTACTCTGTGGCTTATTTTTAAAATTTTCTTTATGGTTTCTTTTGATGTGGAAATTCTTAATTTTAATGTAGGTGTACTTTTGAATCTTTCTCTTTATAGTTAGTATCTCTCCTCCCCTCACTGTCTCCGTGGCTTAAAAATGCTTTCGCTACCCCAAGGTCATGAAGATGTTGTCCTGTTGTCTCCTATAAGTTCTGTAGCTTTCTTCAGGGAGAGGTGCCATAGCTTTTGTCAGACTCTCAAATGGGTCTGAGAACCGCTGATGGGCCTACAGCATTTTTATACTGTTTCTCCAAAGGGCAGGGAATACAAAATTCTAGGTCCTCCCCTAATCACCCAAAAGAGTGGTAGGCATTTAATAGGGTTTCATAAATACTAAATAAATTTATTCTTTCTACGTATTGATGTCTTTATGGTAAACTCTGGAAGGACTGATACAACTTTTCCAATGTGTTTTAAGCAAAATAACTAATATTGTCAGTATGAGGGCACAGAATGAAATTCGTTGTGCTTCTTACATGTTATCCTCTGTGAAGTATTATTTTCTTCATTTTGCAATTGAAAAGATTAAGACAAAAATGTTTAAGCAGCTTCCCCAAGGTCCCTCAGCTAGTAAAGGGCAGAATAGGGACTTAAATCTAGGTCTTTTTGACCTGAAAGTCCATGGTTTTCTGAGCTGTCCTACTGATTGCTAATAAAGTCAATTGCTATTAATGCACACGTTTATACCTGCATGGTGCCTGTTATATTTTAGAAATTCTTTATCTGGTTCTTTTCTGCTCAGGAAGGGCTTTCCCTGCCTCATTTAATTTGATTCTTACAACAACCTGAGAGGGAAGAGGGTACATTTTGTTATTCCCATTTTAAAGACGAGTAAACTGAGACTCAGAAATGTTAGAAAACTTAATCTAAAATAACGCAGCCAGGTATAGCTGCACCTCAGTTACCTCTGTTGTGTGTTCCAAGTCATAAACTATAGTTTCTTTGAGTTAATTCTTATCACACGCCAAGTCATATTCTCCCAGAGAATATACAGCTCTGTCTAATAAGTTAGATACTTTTGAAAACTGCACAATTCTTCTGGGCCACCATCTCTAGTTTTTGTTATTAGAATTCTAAAGCTGTCTAATTTATTTTGGAAAGTTATTTTAAATCCCATGGAAACTATGGATATATTTACACATCGTTTAAAAATCCTGCACTCGCCAAGTTCTTTAGGAAGACCTGTCTAGTTATCCCCATCAATGTAATGTGTGCAAAATGGTGTAGAAAATACTGGCAACACAAAGAGATATCTAAAATAGGCTCCCTGCTTTTAAAGAACGTGTCATAGAATTAGGGAAGGTAAGACTAATACGCTTTCAAGAAGATAAATAAGGATATAAAGTAGTCCATGGTGACTATCAAATGGAATGTAGCATAAGAGAACCAGACTGTCTTGGTTTATTTCTCGGCTCTCGTCTTGCTAACTGTGTGACCTAACCTCTCTGTGCTTCCATTCTTTATTTGCAAAATGGGAATATTAAAAAACCTATTGCATAGAGTTTGAAGATTAAATGAGTTAATATATGTAATACCTTTAGAGCACAGCTGGGCACATAGTAAATACCTATAAAGTTATTAGCGTTTACTTGTGTACTTTTGTTATTGTTGTTAAGATATCTGACGCTTAGTTGAGTCTCCATTTTTCTTTATTGGGAAATAGTTATGGAGTTTCAGGTTGGCAGAGAAAAAGGATGGAAATCTGCATCTTCACCGTTTCATAATCAAGTGTAGTTGCTTTGCTTTGGAGTTCATGCATTTCTTGGAACTACGTCAATCCTACGAGATCCCCAAAGACTGAGACCAGTTCTTCATTTGGCTTTTCTCACACATAAAACTATTTTAACATGGTTTGTAGTTGTATTTAGCTTTTCTTCATGGTCATAAACGAAAAGCTTACTCTTGTGACATAAGCAGTTATGTTCAAAGTGATTTCAGCAAATCAGAGGTAAGTTGATCATCTTACATCCTATTTTTAACCAGGGTTAATCCCTGCATTCATTCATTCATTTTTTTTTTTTTTAAACTTTGAGAGTATTCATCCAGTGTGTCTATAACTTCATTGGCATATGACACTTGGGGGCAACATCGTCACTCTGTTTTCCCTTAGATCATTTCAGCTTTGCGTTCACTGGTACTTAGAGACTCGCCCTGTGAACACCTGGGTTCCAACTGAGTCTCTCTCAGTTAGCTTTAGCCTCTGGCAATTTACAGCAACTTTCTGGGCCTCAGTTTTTGCCTTATTAATTGAAGGGATGAGGCTTCCAGCCTTATGTTTTATAACTCTAGGAGATGAGAAGAAAGATAACTTCTGCCTTGGTTTATAGAGGTTTGCCAGTGTGCTAAGTCAGATCTTGGGGGATTTCTCTGGGCTCCTTGAGAAGAGC